ACCATTGTTTCGCGATGATACTTGTCCAACAAACAATTGTTTCACTCCCCCTTGAGACCCTGACCGTCTCCTGTCAGCGGTGCCAGATTCGATTTCGGCCTTGTCAAGAAAGCGCTATCCGGATCCATCAAAGCCAACGCTTCTGTGCCAGGAAGTGTTGGATCTGTCCGAAACCTTGGAACTTGGAACCCAGAAGAAAAAAGCGAATCCATTGGATGCACTAAATAGCTGGGTTATTCTCAGTCTTAGTTACTGTCTCATGTGTGGTTTCAATGATATTGCATCAGAATCAGGATAGATTAATACACAAAATGCAAACGACGGCAAACAAGCCACCCCGTTGTCAGCTGTAATTCTGCGAGAGTCTCAAACTGGTCCGGCTCGATCCATCCAGACACGCCATAGTCATCCCTGAAAGAGAGTTGCCACACCCGAACCTTCTTGGGTCCCGGTTCCCCAAGACTCGTGCTGTAGACTACATTTTGGTCCAATGGAAAAGTGTCATCCATCCACTGGGCCCACTTCATAGCAGCGGTCTCTTTTCCCTCAGAATCCAGCAAAAAAAGCAAGACTTAGCATTATCACTGAAACCCACAGGCCTGGTGACATGAGCACGAACATGAGCACGACTCAGCCCCGAACTGGTGAACCACAATACTTGTCCATCAAGTATTTGTCAGGTCCCCCATTCGGCAATACAGTGCTTTGGAACCTAAGACTGCTGCCAGCCACCAAAAGTTGTTTAAGGCAAACGAACAGTTTTCTTGGAAACAGTTATTACTGTTCGTTTGGGAAAATATGTGCGGCCTAAAGACCAAGCAAGTATTTGGTCCACATGAGGCAACTCACAAGGCCCACGAGCTTTCTTGTTCTGAGCACCCCCCCCTCCCTGCCCAGATCTTCGTTTGGCCGGCGGCATGATGCCAATCAGCCCCTGGGTCCTTTGAGCCCTTTAAGCCACAAGCACAGTCACATCCAAATGAATGGCTCCCGGTCTATGACAAACATATAAACTGTATCGAGCTGAGTCAGGTATTTTTATGATTGACAGCGTTGCAGGCATAATGCTTTGCAAATGTGTTGACCTAAAACAGAATCTCACTTAGAATCTGCAACCCTGCCAAATCTCACAGCACAATTGACGATGACTTAGCAGCGACATTTTGACTTGAGCTGGCTCCAATACCGTTGGCCAGCCTTATTCAAGCCTGGCGAACAGGGCCTCCAAGGCAACAGAGCTTTCCACCGTCTCAGGTCCATCCATCTTTGAATGAAAACCTTAGGCAATTGGCAATGCCATTGAGCCCCCCCCCCCCAAAAAAAAGAACAAACACTTGAATAACAATTTGCTGCCTCATTTAGTGAACTGTTCATGTTTGAACATAAACCTTTATGCCCAGTAACCGCTAGATTCGCATGACTCTGCACCTTCAAGGAATGCCTTGTACTTCTCAGGGGGCACTCGGATGACAGGGAAATTGTCTGTCTTAGAACGCTCATAGACAGGTTCAGCGTCGAGATCAAACCTTGAATCGGCTACCAAAACCAAAACATCAGCCGTCACACTCCAACCCTGAGAGGCTGTGCACACAGCCTTGCAGTCATCGTTCCCCTTAATGTCATGCTGGGGCCAGCAGGCAGCATTGCGGAACAATAGCCTGGGCAAACAAATAACTTCAAGTAAAAATGGTTGGTAGTAAATATTGAACTTACGCCTTCATAACTGCCACTTGCTATCATTCAAGTCAAAAAGCACCACTCTCTCGGCGTGATATTCGGGGGGGCTGTCGTCACACCTATGGAGAAGAAAGATTGCTGGGCAGGTTTGCTGGTCAGCTCCAAGATCAATGGTTCCTGTCATGGTCACAGGTTGCGACTATTGGGCAAATGGCAAATGTTTTCACCTGGATCAAGTTTCTAACTGAAAGTCACGATGATATTTGATTTTTTTTGTCCAACAAATTCAGCCTTCATAGTATGAAAAGTACCGGATCATCAAAGCATCACTCGCTTCCAAGAAGCCCTTGTCAAGAACAGCCTGTCAGATTGCGGTCAAAAATTGAGTTGCTTTGTGGGAAAATCTGAATCGTAATGAGGGAGGTGAAGTATGTTGTTGATGCTGCTGCTACTACTGTAACCAACCTCCAAAACGGACGAGTTTGCCACAGTAAAGTCTGACAACATCAGCAGCAGGACCTGAGAGTATACAGTCGGGCCAACAAAAACCAGAATCCATTCGGAAAAAAACGACACCAAATCCTAAGTTGCTGACCTGCTCAAAGTGCCAGTCAGTGAGTGTGGTTTTCAGCTGGCTTTTTTCAAAATGCTGCAGAGTGACGAGCATAAACTATGAACAACAATGAACAGGGGTATCCGGAAAAAAACAAGCACAAATGGACTCCATTGCAAAAAAACTTGAAACTGTCAATGGTGGTCAAACAATGGACTTCTTAGAGTATCACCATAAAAGTCATAGCTCTCAACAAACAAGCCAAAAACGTGAAACCCTTGGCCCCGAAAATCCAACAGTCTCCTGTAACATGAATCCGACACTCTCGACCTCAACTCTCAGACATGAAAGCCAACACTCCATGTTGTTGTCAATAAGTGGTTTATAAACCACCTTTCAAAGACAACAATGAGGTCTTCAAAATACAATAACAATCAATTCTTGGAAACACCCCCCGAAAAAGGAACAGGAAAAATCCGACACTCAAACCCAACTCTGGAAAAGACCCTCAGAGTGTCGGATTCCAGGTTGGATCGGACACTCTGACCAGCTTGTGAATGCATGAACCCTATGATCAACACCCTGTCTCAACCTGGAATTCAAAGTTCAACACTGCCTGGAGTGTCGGATTGGACCTAGAATCCGACACTCTGAGGTATGTTGATCAACAATGCTCTCAGTGTCGGATATGGACCCTTTAAACCTGAATGCCTCCCCCACCCAGGCACCCTCCAGTCTCCAAGTTTTTCAACGTTTAGGGTTTAGGATTCCGAAGTTTCAGCTGCTAAAATCAAAACTGGGCCAATCACTGTGGATCGATATGACAGGTGTCACTGTCCATCATTGAAGGCACTCAAGACGCGACCAAGCTCAAGGCATTCTCCAAATAGCGCCTCCCAAAACTCAATCTATGCTATTCGGTCATCAAAAAAGTCAGTGTGACGCTGGTATTTCTTTGCTTGGTCAAGTTACATCCTGTGTTCTTAGTCTATGCTTAGATCATCTTAGATCCTTTAATTTAGTTTATAGGTTCCCCCAAAACAATTTTTTACATATATAATACATATAATATAATTAATATTTATATATATATATATTCAATGTGCTTCCACTATTATTATAGGTTGTGGCTCTAAAATCTACAGACTGTATGACATGCAAACTTCGCAGCTTTCTTCGCCGAGCATCCCTCTTTGAGGGCGGGTCCTCACAGCAACGCTGATTCACGGCTGGGGTCATGAAAACTTTGCTGCTTTCTTTGCCGAGCATCCCCCTTTGGGGGCGGGTCCTCACAGCAACGCTGATTCACGGCCGGGGTCGTTTCTGTCCCCGAGGAAGGCGTTTTGGTTTCGCAGATGCCTTCATGATAGCACCCTCTGAGATCGATAGGGCTTCTGCCCATGGGACACCATTGGCGCACGCAACCGCAGCGGCTTCCAAAACTATCTGCCGTCGTGCTTTCTCGACATACTTATCAGCATCCTTCTTGATGTCACCGCCACGGAAAATCCTGAGATGAAGAAGAAAGAACACATCCTCATTCGTGAAACTTGACTTCAAAAAAACCAAAGTTACATGTTGATTAAAATAAAAGTTCGTTTTTACAGGTTGATGCTGCAATAAACCAAAAAATTGACCGTTTGCGGAAAACATGTCAAATGTAAGTCACTGTGATCATCAGTCAGCCTAATTATTCCTGGTCTATCCAAGATTCTTGAGAGAATTTGGTCGTGGTTCCAAGTTGAAGATTTGTGGCGGTGGCACTCGGTGTCCTCCAGGTCCCTCTGCAAAGCCGCACCTCTAGTGACAACTTTCAAACACACTCCGATTACTATCCAGGCACATTAAGAACTCATCTCACTAAACCAGTATCCCCGTCCCAACACTTTGGAGTGAAGAAATTGCGATAAGCCAAGGTGCGCTGATATATCCAACAATGGGCCTCTCTCCAAACGTCCCTGCGCCCATGCTTCCATGTAGTCTGCTGCCCGGTCAAGGTTCAAAGCACGCATGGGCCCTATGAACTTCAAGTAGTGGTCAGGATCGGAAAGGGGGTTCTTCAACGCCAAACCTGTTCGCACCCCATCGTTTTTCAAATGTGAAATCTACCATCATCATTAACGCTGAGGCTGGTAGCCAACATGAACAAACAGTCAACAACGTGCAGAGTGAGTGGAAGACCTGGAAAGTTGTAACCTGCAACCTGCCTCCAGGAAGGCCTAAAGACACTCGCGCATTTGCCACCTCCTCTGGAAGGAATACGCAGTCAAAGTTCCACTCCTCGTCCGCCATGTATTGCTTTGTCCTCACCCATGATGAATGGATACTTGTCAACTTGACTTCTTTATAGGGCCAAACTCCAAAACAAAACAGAAGACTAATTTCCAGCTTGCACCCCCTTGGTCCTGAGTATGACATCTCGTTTTGCTGGACGGAGGTTCCAGTATGAATCACCAGCAGCAAAATCATCGCCTCAGTTGAAAACTATGACACAGCTGACCCCAAGACTTACATTTGAATGATCAGGCCTGCCAGGCTATATATCAATAAAATCAGTGACCATCACATCTTAGTACCCCAAATGCCTGACTGAATTTCTGATGAGTAACTCAAAGATTCCCGCCGCGAAAAATCAAAAACGTGAGGCGCCCCTGGACCTCCGATCCCCCTTAAGTTCACCGGTATGCTCTCGCTGAGGTAGCCCTTCCTGACAAATGCCAACATGTTTCAAATTGTTAGGAGTTGACTACCTCAATTTCAAAGTAGCTGCTCAACAACTAAAACTTGCTAGTAGTAGTAACAACCCGAGTCTCCAGTCATGGGCTACGTCAAAGAAAATGGAGTACCGCTTTGGTTCAAAGGGTCGTTTGACTTCTCCCAACCAATCTTCAATGATGGTGACAAAGTCCCCAGGATGGACAGCTTGCCGAGCCTTCCGGCTGATGTATCGACTTAAATCACCAAAAAGTTGGTCAAGGTCATCATGACTGTGACCTGTTCTCAAGCAGCGGAGCTGGATGCTCCTGACGGATCCTGGGCAACAAAAACTGCTTGGTCACTGGGATCAAGAACTGGCAGCAACATAGTCCCAAATTTAAAGTTGCTTATTACAAAAGATTATCTCAAATGCGCACTGGCCACTGTGAGATACGAGCCGGCTGGCCCATTTGCAGAAAATCACATTCTTAATCTCGCGGGGGGTGTTGTCAGCCTGCACCACTACCGAAGTAGTGGGCAGGTTGACATGGAAGTCTTGTTGGAGCTTTGTCAATGCGTGGCTCAGAAGTTCCATCATGGACGTCGCATCCTTTGGCATGCAATGCTCTCCAGTAGCCATCATAAGGAAATGGCCGTGACACAAAAGGCCAGTCACGTGGGCCCTGGGGCGGATCATAGTACTGAGGGATTTGGATCGGAAGGCTTTTGATCTAGGGTAACAATACTTCATCTGATCCATTCCGTCGATTGTGATGACAACTTCCAGAGGAGGCTTCAAACGTGACAGGGGCCTGGAGGACCAGTACTGAACTCGGTCCCTGTATTGGGCCTCCAGGTGCCTCATATACAGGGCATGCTGAGCTGCTCTGGCCCTTAGGTGATGGGACAGGTCCTTCAGTAGAGCCTTGTACCGGCTGCATTCTCCACACATGGAGTGACTGCTTGTTGGCCTAATGCGCAAATGGGGATAGTATTGGCACCAGGTGCGCCAGAAGCATGAAAAGCTGACTGGGCCAAGCTCTGATGAATTTGCTGATTCAGCTGCCTTCATTTGGTCATAAACATCCACCATCTGACATGGTGGCAAGAAACGTAGCTGAAGGTTCATGCGGTCGGGGTCTATGGCCATTGCCTTCTTAACTTTGTGTTTCCCCTTCTTTTTGGCAGCCGGGGCACTACGGCTGGATCCAAGGGCAGCGTGCTTGTAGTAACCATCAGTCTCTGGCCTCGACGGAACACCGCTAGGCAGTTGCAGCGATATCACCTCATCCCCATCGTCCAAGCCGGAGTCACGCCAGTCTGGCAGCGTTTCTGCCTGGCTTTGGTACACCTGCTCCAAAAAGGTAATCACGCGTGCCCGTGATGACTCTCCAGACTGGTCATACTTCTTGATCCCCCGTTGCAAATACCGCAGGTCTGGGGGAGGTACTTCAGCAAGTGACTCAACAGCTGTTCGCAGTTTGTCAAAGCGGCGGCTACCTGGGCACCATCAAACGCAAATGGAGAAAACAAACAGTAAATGAGTTCGTAAGGTGGTGAAATGTCCCAACGAGCGCTTGACTTTCAACAGTGAATAGACCATGGGGTCTGAATGAACAACGTTACAAAGTTAAGTTAAATGCACCCTAGAACCTAGGCCGTGGAGTCTCTTCCATGCTCGCAAGCACACCTGCACACCCAAAAGGGTCCACTCAGTAGGACTCTCGCGATCCTGGCCAGGCTTGAGGATTGCCTTGATGCGCTCAAAAGCCTTGGAGGAATTGTGTGGCATGTGCGATGACAGAAATATCGTGGACCAATTAGATAACATTCTATCAAATGACACATATAAAATACATCAGGGATCAAATTCCAACTCGAGTAACCACTCTGTCTTGGTCCAACTTATGAAGTTCGCACCAATCTCTACGAAATTCTAGCAGCTCCTGAAGACGGCTGCCCTGGTTGAATTTCAGGCAGCATTGATGCTTGCAATTCGTGCATTTCTTCCCAAGGAGGGCCTTGATGTGCAACTCGCTGGTAAGGCGCTCCTTGAACGCTTCTGCTGTTTCAACACGGGACTTGTGGGTCCGCTTGCGGCGCCACTTCTCAGGCAAATCAGCGGCCGAATCAGAATCACCATCAGAGCCAGAACAGCTCAAAGTTTCAACGGTTGGAAGCTGGTGAGAAGAGCTAGCTTCCCTGCACAGCTGAGAATCCTCACCATCAAATGCGGGAAGTTCCAAAATCGGATCCAAGGCAGGCATTGCATTGCTCCGCGACGCAGTGCGAATCTGAAGCTCTAAAAAAGCAAGAGCTGCAAAACGCAGATCCAAGTTTCTATTGGGTTCAAGTCACTTAAGCAGCCTACTTCAATGAACATCAGCTTGCGAACACCACGCATCACAAACAACAGGTAAGAAGTTGAAGCACCCAAATTTCCATCACCAGCGCCGACTGATTTCCGTCAAATTTCCAGCTGGCCTTCTGTGGGGCGGTTCGGCAATCCCCCAAGGCCTGAAACAAATTCAAAATTCCAAGGCGTAGGTCTTAGACTATGAGCCCTACAGCTTTATGAACAATCAGTAGCAGCACCCGGCTCAAAGCAATTTCACAGCAAAAGCTCAGACTCTGTAACCTTGCCTTCATAGGGCTGCTGGATCAAGAAAAAGCAAGCTCCAGGACTGAGCGTTAGCAACAAACTAACAAATGTCCCACGATCAAAGACTTGAACACTGCAGAGGTTCTGAAAGAATTTGATAGTGAGTCAGGCTTCCACCTTCCTCGCTTTCTGAAGGAAACCCAATATGGAACCTGGGTTTGAAGCCAAAAAGTAAAACCTGCACCACACTGGAGGACATGACTTAAGCCTGCAATCTATTCAGCAAAACAAGTAACGTGGCATGGTATCGCAACGATTGCCATTTCTGAGGGCACACATCCACCTGTAAGGCTTTGTAGCCTTTCCCGTCCTTGGTCCTGCAGCATGTAAGGGATGGATGAGTGGAGGCCTTATGCAATGAGAAGTTGAGAAGAACAAACTGTTTCTCACGTTTCCAGTCCTGTATGTTGTCACTTTGCACAGGCTTTCGTCACAAGGGCGTAGACTGCTGTTGCTCTTAATCATGACCAAATTGGTCTCTGCATCAATCTCATTTCCAAAAACGCGGCAGGTGTTTGAAAACCCTGGCAACTTTGACGATTCTCGTGTCTGGAAAATCACCTTGGCAAGCCCTTCATCAATGAACACCAAGCCATCATGGAAGAGAATCCTAAGAGGCAATATCAACTTCGAAGGTAAGACATCATCCGTTTCTCCAAAATATCCAACAAAAAGACATGACAACAAGAAATTGCAAACAAAAATCGCATAGCGCTGCTGCAAACCATCTGGTTTGTCAGCATCGCCCACGCAAAACAGGACAGTCTCATCTGTGTCAAGAAGGCCAACAGCCAAGCGCTGGAAGCAAATAATGACAACATCTGGACCGGTCATCCAGTCCAGAAATTGACAGCGGTCACGGGTGAGGACCCCACTGATCACCCGTCCATCTGCGTTGGTGTAGGTACGGATTAAGGAGTCTGACGATGCCATGGTCTAACTAGCAAAGTTCCCACTACTCCTACCGCTTGTTTTCAAGCCCAACGCCCTGATCTAAGCTTAGTTCAAACACACGATTCAAAGCAGTTGTAACTCTCATAGTTACTCTTGGAACTGTCCAGCACCTAGTCGTTCATTTTCAATCTTGACGCACGACTGTCTCTTGATCCCATGGCGTGGTTCTGATTCGATTCTAATTTTGTTTCAAATTAGCATTCCACCTGCGGGGCTGACAAAAACACACACACACATAGTGAACCTTCTAATTACCATGTCTAAAGGATGTTTTTTTGTAACTAATAAGGCTAAAACCCACAAAGCTGGACCATTCCCGCGCGGAACACGGAATGTCTGGGCTGGTGCAGGGCGGATTCAACCTGAAACAGCCTAGTCTATACAGAGTCCGAGTCAGCCATTCTGCTCAAAGCAGACATTGCAAGCGCAGCTTGGCAAGGCACCACTACGTTGCCTAAAGTGCGAATCCGACACTCAGATTCCTTGTCTCGACTCTCCTCCAGCCAATCCTCCATTGGCAAGTAGCAGTGCACATTCCAAGGACCCTGTTGGGCCCAGTGGTCCAGAGGCATAGCTGGAACCTCCAGAATCGTTAATATGCTATCAACAGCAGTGAGAAGAAATGAAGCGGCATTCAATACAAGCCTTGAACTTGAAGCCCGGCTTGCAAATCAAAAGGAACACGCGGCCACGAAAAGCCTCAGAGCAGACTATGATGCAAACGGTTGTCCATTGAAAGATTTAAAGGTAATCATCCAAAATCCAAGACCCATCAAAAGGATATCGTTACAATCTATAATAGGACGTTTAACACCCCCCATCCCCTTTGCAATCAGCATAAAACACTGGCCCATGAAACTTAGTACAAACAACCTTTAGCAGCCAACCATTAAAAAATAAAACAACCAGCCGATGGTCTGACTCTAAAACTAGTCGTCCGATAGTAGTTGATAGAAATTTTACAGCAAGTCTCATATTTGTTGGGGGATTCTTTGGACATGGACTGCATCAATGAGCGCCCAGCTGGGAGTCCACAGTTGCCTAGCGTGTTGACGGTCCAGTAAAGGCGAAGTCCACGGGAAGAGGCCTCCTTCCAAAAACTCTGAAGACTTTAACAGGTTTTGAATGCCAATTGCTTCTGCAAACCGGTCCTTCACAATGTAGCAAAACATCTCTCTGCATTCGCGCTGTGCACTGAGCAGAGCCTTCACATTCTCTAAGGCCAGCAGCGACCTACAGCCGGGGAATCAACAAACTAACTAAATCCCTTGCCATCAATCGCTGCCATACTGAATCCCAAAAAGGCTTTAAAGTTCACAGTAAGTTTCTCACGCTTTTGGCAAGCAGTCCCATAGACGCCAAACTGACTTGATCAGTCCTGAACGCCGATCAGCCAACCCGCGCTGGTGGCCAGAGACGGAAAGGCCCTGGCGTCAGGAAAAGTTCCAAAGTGTTTCACAAAAGTCAGGGAAACTACAAAGTTATTCAGGAAAAAATGTGAGAAGCTTGACAATTGACTTGGCAGGCCTGACATGGCCATCCTCCTAGGATGGCTTCTGCTTCAAGCGCTTCCCCTTCTGGGGTATAAGTGGTGATGTCATCATGCAGTGGGGCTCGCGAAATGCAGCCCTCTGCCATTCTTGCCTTGAGTATCTCCTGGCAAAAGCTGTCCCGCTCTACCTGACAGATTTTTGATAACAATCTAACTTGTTTCAACTTTCAACTGAAGTTCAGGTTCGGACATACTGCACAATCTTGAAATGCCTGGCCACAAAAAATATTTACTGTTATCAACACAGCTGCACTGCAAGCAAGAGTGGGAATCATATCGCAAAAGAAGAATTCAGCGGCGACAACAGAACAGTTTTGAACCCTGGCAGGCTTCGAAGTTGATTGGTTGTCTAGGCGGCCCTAGGATATGGCATGGTCTGCTTTCACACGCTTTGTGGGCGGGGAAGGGGTCTGCGGCTCTTCGCGACAAGCTCGGGCTGTCTCACTTGGTCTGTCCTGGCGTGCTAAGAAATCAAAACTGGTGCAGCAAACAACGAAACCACAAATGGGGCGCCTTGGCGTCATGTGATTTTACTGTTGGCCGTTCTGGTTCTGGAACATCCTTCAAAGGAATCCAAGTTTTGCCCCGCCATGTGTACCTCTTGTCACCGCTGGTGGTCTGCTGTAATCAAAGAAATCAACAGGTTGGTTTGTTGAATCAAAAAAACGCTCAAAGTGTGAAGGCGCAATTCGTTGTGCCAACGGCAGAGTACAACTGTGTCACGAGGAAGTTGGATCCTCAAAACAAAAGTGCTTCAGCTTGCGTTTTGGATTCAATCTAAGACCTGTCCAAGCTCCTGGCTTGATCTGATTGACCCCAACAGTTCTAATGGTCTGCCACTCCATGGTGATCATTGATTTCCAACTCAGAGGTATGGATGGCTTGACTGTCCAGACTGCTAGTCAGCTAGTCTTTGTCTTTGAGACTTCATGAAGTATGAATGTATTGATTTGTCGTAGCAGTGTCCTGCCTCACTACTGTGACGAACTGCGCCCAGTATATGAAAACATATCGCACCAAAAAGGCTGCGGCTCAGATCAACCCCTGAATGAAATTCTCTGTGGCATAGACGCTCGACAAGACACACGAATGAAAACAAATATGCCAGTAGCACCGGCCACATCCCAGTTCTAAACCTCCCACTCCTGTGAATACAGATATAGCCCGAATCTGGGGCTCACTGGCTTGACAGGCCTGACAGGAAATATGGTTTGAAAAAAAGACATCAGCTCAAATTTCTCAATCTTCTGAGCTTAAAACGTTAAAACGTCAAAGCAAAACAAGAAAAATAAAGAAACAGCAAATGAACATTGCGCCTTCTGGCCCCAAAGTCGAGGCTGGTACTCAAATCTCACACGACCAACATCGACATCTCCGGCCCTCGGAGATGTCCAATTTCTGGGTAGTCCACTGAACCACTCCGCAGCCTGAACTGTCAGGTACTTGCCTGGCCCTTTATTGGCCATGGCCAGGGCTTGGCGATACTCCTGTGAGTATCGGATTTGGTTTGCCAAGTCCTGAGTTTCGTTGCCGCATACAAAAACACAATACAGTGGCAGGGATTGACAGGTGCAACGTTTTAAGCTTCCTGCGCTTATCCCCCGGCAGCTGACCGACTCACAGACGGTTGTGCTTGCTGAGAAGACACCTAAAGTTTTTGCAAACAAACGAGTTATAGATTAGGAATGAAGCAGATCTGAGTCAGGAGCGAATTGTTCCCCATGAGCGAAACTCCTTTGTGCCAACAAACTTCTTGGCGCCGTTGGGCTTCAGCCCAGGTGTTCCCCTTTTCACCTCAGCAAGGCAAACATCATTATTGAATCGAATGTATCATTATTGTTGAAACTGAGTCCGCAACAACCTTCAACTGCAAAGGTGCAGTCGTAGGCAGTCGCAAGCGTAGGGTTCGGAAGACTTTCTGGTAAATGAAGCCGTGCCGTGGCACCTGGCGCAAAAAATTAACTTCAAGTGTCACCTTCTGTGAAAAACGAACTTGTCGCATTCACCTTCTGCTTCCTGAAGAGTGAAGGCTTGTAGGGTTCCTTCTTCCAGGTGGAGACCTGGCCAACCTCCCAGACACTAAATTCCAAACAAATTAC